CCACTCCACACCATATCTCTCTCCCAGCTCTTCGGTGTATGTCTGCTGTGAAATCGTCAGCCTGCCTGCCTCTCTGTCCCTCTCGTGATAGCAACCAGAGTACCACTTCAACTCCCCTGGAGACTTCACTGGCACGTACTCTCCCAGGTTCTTGCCGAATTGATCACACCTCTCCTTCGTCCCCACTGCAAAAATATCGTGTACGTGTACTACGAGAAGCAACACTACTTCCCCCCCTTCGACTAAACGAAAAACACACGAATCAGCCATGCACTGCTCGAACCCCAAAGCCAAAAGGCACTTCTTCAGAAACGCGTACCACTCTCTAGATGCCTGCCTCAAGCCATAAAGGCGCTTGTTCAACTGCACTATCTTCCCCGACAACGCACCACAACCTGCCGGTAGTCGCATGAAAATATCCTCTTGAGAGGGGCCCTCACAAAAGCCTGGTCGATACCGAAGTGACACAACTCCAAGTCAAGCTCACACGCCAAAGCTGCCAACATACGAACACTTGATGAAGCTACAGTAGGTGCATACAAATCACCAAAGTCAATGTACTCCTTCCGCATGTCTCCTCTCGCAACAAGTCTAGCCTTGGCCTTCGTAGGAAAGCCGAACGCATCTACCTTCCAATCAAAAATCAACTTCGACTTGATGCAACTGTCTATTCGCTGCTACGGTCCAACAATATTGAACGCGTCTGCTTCTAGCAATCCAAACACCTCACGCTTGGCCGCATCCATGAACTGCTCGCTGTGCTCGCTCTGCTTTGCCTCTTTGAAAGTCTGGGGTACTCGGAGGTCCTTGGCGTGGCAGCGCGGCATGTCGGGTCGCAAAAGAGGCGGCTCCATCTCGCGCACAGCTGAGTCGAGGTCGTCGCGCGTCGCAAGACGCGCCACAAGTCCGAGCGGAACGCCCCGCTCAGACGGACCGATCGACCAACCATTCCCCATGCGTCCCTCCTCGCCGGTGTCCACCTCCGGCAGCTTTCCCGTGCTCTCTACCACGCCCTCACTCCTCGCGAGCTGCTCGCCTCCGCCCCCCTTCTCGCCGCCCCCCTCCAATCCTGGCCGGAGCAATGTCTTGCCGTTCATGACTCGCCGAGCATCCAGCACGGAGAGGAGGACGTCTTTGTTTGCATGAGCCAGCAGTCCCATGGTGATCTCGGTCGGAGGCAGAGGCGTGGTGACGGCATCGTCCTGCAGTGATGGCAACTGCCGGTCCACCGATAGGGCAGAAAGCTGTTGCTGGGCGATGGTGCGCGCTTCCGCTCTCGTGCGTCCTCGGATCCGCGGATCTCCCCCCTCGCCGAGCAGTCTCGAAGCATGGGGCGTGAGAGGTGCGTACCCCGGTGCGGTCGCCGACTGTCTGGTCCGCCGGTCTTGGTGCGGTTGCGGCGGGGACTGCTCAGCCTCAATGGATGAGGACGACCAGTCCGGGAGCGGCAGCGACGGCGACAGCGGCGCAGACCCCGGAGGCGGCGGCGGCAGCGACGGTCCGGCGGCGGTAGCAGCAGGCGGCGGCGAAGCGACGATCTCGAAGGGTAGATGCTGGGGC